TATTTACTTCTTAGTAAAGAAGTTTATACATTTTATAAAATACAAACGTTTGATAACTTTAGATTTTATGCACCATACAAGCATCCTTTCTCAAATGTCATAAAATTGGATCCTGAGATCGTGAAGAAATTTTGGCTAAATGTCATTGCAGTTTTGCAAAATTTTTTTAAAATAACGTATACTTATATGCATGATGTAACATTCATTTTTTGGTTTATTCATCTAAAACGAGATTTTTGTAGCGCGGCAACCAAAATGCATTTGCTATGGTTTGTATATAATTAAAAGCTTATTGCAAATAGTACAAGACTTTTGAGGCAAGCTTTCCAATTGCAGCAAACATCCACAGCAAACAGGAAACTATATCGATATAATCCATAACTATATTATGTTGCTATTTTGTCTCGTTAAAGGTGAAACTCTCGTGAACGCTTTTCCAGTGTTGATATCAGCAATGTCAAGACCATCGGACATCAAAAAGGCTATTAAGGAGGAGAATTCGCAAAACTTTGCTAATAAATAATCCCTATAAAGAAAATGAAAAATGAAAAATATAAATTACACATATAAACTTCGAGAACATTTTTATGAACCACCCACCAAACATATCCACCACATCATACAGAAACCTGGTAAGATACTACTATCAGCCGGTCAAACATACGGAAAGTTATAATTTATCTTTGAGGAGACGTTAACTAACTTGTTCTTTTGTCATCGTTCGTTTCTTTCCTTTTCTAGTGGAGCCCAACGGAAGTGGTAATTAGACTGTTTTCCTCGCGACCATTTTAATTTATCTAACTATCAATCAGTTTTAATATTTCCTTCGAGTTCATGAAACACGAGAATCAATCATTTTATTAGCATCATAGATAGTAAAAATGCCAAAGAAATCTTTGAAAAAGAACATTTGAAATTCTTGGAAATTTTGAAAGGATCACTAAAAAGGCAGCGAATTGGGAGTTTTGAGAAATAAATTAATTAGCGTAGCAAGAATTATACGCAAATTCGGAAATTAAACAAAAGCCAGCTAAATTCCATTTCGGCTTCTCCTTTCTCTATCACTTCCGGTCATATATATGAAACTAATTTTTATTAATATGCAGAGTAACATTATTCAAATACGCAATTCTTTCTTACGAGTGAAATCTCGCTCAATTATTTTTTCTAGAACAGTCACGATCACGCCTTTACGATTATGATCATTTTTATGTTATTTTTATAAAAACGGCGAGTTTTGATTTTTGATTATACACTATTTAGGTATGGTATGGTATGGTATGGTATGGTAAAAAAAATAAACATACCAAAATGTTTTATATCAAATCAAATTATTTATAAACTCTGAATTCATACCAAAATGCTCAATCATACCGATACCATACTTAAATAGGTATCACTCCACTGAATTAAAGATCGCAGTGAGGAATGGGAGTGATCTCCTAGGACATAAGCATATTGATATCGTTTTCGTGGAGATAGCGGAAAAACAACCACCATGGTAGTAAATTTAGTCGATAATAATTTTTCCATGGGCATATGGTGAAAAGCGTGGACGTAGACCGCCGAAAGATGGTTCGAGATGTGTTCTTTGTGATGAATTTAATTGTTGCGAAACATTCAGGGAAATGGTGCGATGAATTCAGATAAAGCAATCCCTTGGTAACATTCATTATAGCTAAGACGCATGCTGAAGCTCGTTACCACTGAATTACAAATAAAAACACTGAATTACAAATAAAAACTGAATTACAAATGATAATTTTCATAATGTAACGGATTTATGGTGGTGATTCCATTGTAAAACCAATTAAAACTTTAGATCTATCGTTTTGCTCAATGAAATGCATTTACCAATTATTGCAGGTAACACGTACGCGTTTACTTTATTTGGGATAATTTTTACATCTTTTCTACTAGTCGAGTGCTACTTTTTTGATCTTTGCTCTTCTACAAATCAAATTTAATGATATAACAAAACAATAACGAACGAAAGGACAACAGCTGCAATAGTATTTCACACACTGCTTACGTATACACTTATGCATACCTACATGAGCTTTAAATTTTTATAGCGATAGTAATTAATGAATTTAATTAATTAACGTTTTTTCTTAAATATCGTACGTATGTATGAATGGTATTAGAAGTGGGTAATGGGAATTTAGTATTAATTCTTTTCTTTCTTTTCTTTCGTTCATTTTTCACTACAATCTATATCTCTCTCTCTCTTGTGTTATTACACAATGCGATGAGTTTGTATATAAAATTTTTAATTTATAATATAATAATACTTTGCTAAATAATAATTTAAATAATTTGAGAATTGATTTTTCAAATTTAATTATTCCTTTTCAATTTTTAAATTACAATAAATACCTCAAACTTCTATACACAAAAAGATGTCGCAGTCTTCCCTCCATTTCAACCTTCCGCCAGACACAAATTGCCTAAAAACGCAATGTCTATGTGACTTTCGACTATCGATAAAAGATTGCAACTACAAACAAGATCAAGATTATACTTTATTATGGGAAAATTCATATATTCTTGTGGCGACTACGTGTTTTTTAGTGGGATTTGTGCAATTGATCGTTCTGAGATATCGAATACAACGACTAAAACGACGATGGAGGAATAATAATACTATTCTTAATAGTGCTAGTATATATAATAAAAAGGATAGTATCTTGAGGAGTAATAGTGGAAGAAGTAATAGTAGCAGTGGTAGTAGTAGTAATATTAGTCTCGATAAAGTAGATGCAGGACAAGAATTTCACGCGTTTTTGATTCAGAAAGCTAATAATATTGGAATGATACGACCAAAGCCTGTCGAGGTAATTTTAGCAAATCAATCAATCAATTAAGATTGGCTGGGATGGAATGAAGATTAATCCATTTTTTTTTGTTAACAATAAATAGACGTTTTTATTGTTGACAGCTTTGTTCAATATAAGTAAGCTTATTTTTTTTTTATCAATTCAATTTTCAATCGTCTTATTTATTCTCGAATTTATTTATTGTTAGTACGTGGCGTTGATTGTGTGTTGGTGATTACAAATGCTCTATCGGATTATGCCGTAAAAGAAGGTATGATGTTTTTGTTTTCTCGATTTCAAAATAATTCAGAACAACAACTAATCATAAAACTTGCAATCAAACGCGCAGCCATATTCGAAATAGGATGGCAATTTGCATTTTGGGGAATTTTATGTTATCTGTAAGCAAAAATTATATTTCACATCCTTATTCGCCTTCTCTTTATAATTAAATCTTAACCCTCATCTTAACCAATAAATAAGAATCGGAGCACTATACACAATTCCACACACGTTGAATCTAACACGTGACATCAACACCACAAGTTATATAAAAGTATGGATGCCAACTCCATTCTTCATGGACCTATTCGCGTTGTTTCTCGTGGTAGGCCCAATTTCGACGCTGATACTTTTTTCAGTGATGTCGGGTTTATTCGCGAATCAGGGTAATTTTGTCTCGGCGAATTTCTATCGTCGGGTACATTATGCGTTTTGGGTTTTTTATCTATTGGTTATGGCGACGGGGTTACTTTATTTTGGTGATCGTTTAGTAAAGTCAATTCAGTCGCGCATTCGTCATATGAAGCGATCTAGTTCGGCGCGTGATGACAAAATTATGATTTTGAAGAAGGCAATATCGAATGTTTGTATCGATAATGAATATTTCTGATTTGATTTGATTCGATTGATTCGTAATACTAATCACATTTTGTTTCATAGGTAAAAACTACAGTCATTTGTCTAGCATCCATAGTATCATTTCTATCCCTCATATCAATACTGTATGCAATCATCCGTGAACAAATACACAAGGATGCAACTGGGAATATTCTCTTTGGTCTCGCCTGGATATTAGTGTGTCCTGTATCATTCGGTATAGCAACAATTGGAATTATTTTTGGTGGCTCATTCACCGAGAACATTACCTCGTCTTCCATTATACCGAGCAAGAATAGGGGTAGTGATGGATTGGTGACTCATGATAGTAATATTAGTTCTCGTAACACGTCGAAATTCTCTACTGCTAGATCAACAATGATCGGTGCTGATTTTGGTAGTGGTGTGAATCCATGGAAAAGGTTTAGTTTAACCTCTTCGAAGTATTCAGCTGTCGGTCTAGCCTCATCGCCAACAACATCACAACAGGAACCTCCACCGATTTTTGTTCCACATCATCGAAATCAATGGTCAATATCTTCGGCAGCTTCTAATTTAATGAATAATACATATTTACCAATGCAACCTCAGAATCCACATCCTCTACGTAATCAAAGCCCACCACCGAATCCTTCTGTGATCTTACCAGACAATAACAAAATACAAGAATCAACGCCGCCTCCGTCACCACCACCACCACCACCACCACCACCACCACCAATCAATGAAAAAGTCGTTAGGTTTGAATCATCACCGAAGCTACAACAATCGATAATATGTACTGTATTTGTTGAAACAATTTCAGAGCCATTGGATGATAATACCAATGATAATAAAAAACACGATGCTAATGAAAATAATAACGAAAATTCGCTGCCAATATTATCGGAATCATCTACTACGATTACTACCCCTGAAATCACTATAAGTAACAATAAAAAACACGATGATGATGATAAAAATTATAACGAAAATTCGCCGCCAATATTATCAGAATCTACTACCCAGACTACTCCTGAAATTACTATAAGTAATGATCCCGAAACTACTACAAGTAATACGCCTGAAATTACTATAAGCAATGATGATCCTGAAACTACGCCTGAAATTATTATTAATGATGGTAGTAATACTGATGATAGTGACGATGAGGAAGATGTACGAATTGAAGATTTACCAATTCCCCCGCCGAGATCGATACCTGGTGGAAATTCGGGCTTATCAATCTTGAGTGATAATACCAACAATCATAGGAATAGCAATAGAACTGTTTAATAATAAATTTAAAACTACGGCTGATATTTATTCTGCGCTTTTATCTGAAAGGACAATCATCGCAATTTTATTGTTTTTAAACTTATAAATAAAAAAAGAAAATTTTATAAACATTCTAGCTTTATGTATTATTATTGTTATTATTATTACCGTACTACTGTTAATATCATTTGTATTAAAAAAAAGCTTTATTACTCTCATCCGACCCTACTAACACTAAAAAAAACGGTTACCATATATTATAACAATAATACCAATAATAATAAGATATAGGAAGTAGAATAACGAGAAATAAAAAAAATAACTACATTCCTTAAAGGGAAATCTTTCTTCGTACTTTTCAGTAAACTGAAAGATTAGACAAAATTAAAAGGACCGTGGAGAAAAATACTTTCTTTCACCTTGGTCTCTTTGATCAAAATAGCTCATCATAATTCACATGATCATCTTCAACATTGACCCATATATCAGCGTGGCCATGAGCACCGACAAGAGATTCGACTGGTTGATCGGATAAATATTCTTTGCCGCTATCATCGATCGCCGTTTTGGTCACGAATCGTTTGCCGTTTGGTGGACCATCTGGGAACACGTGTCTTAAAAGGTCAGAAAAGGTCATGCCTTTCGTGACTACAAGGTTCGATTTGTACGGGGACTTTTTTTTCGTGTGAATGCTGACGCACATTTGAGATGGTGCTGGAGATGAAAATATCAACGGAGTTGGAGCAATGGCAAGTCTTTTGCGTGGTGGTTTACTGTTTGATGGATTAGGGTGAATCGGGGTGTTGGTCGGTGTATGGATGATTGTTGATGTTGAGGTGGAAGGTGGATTAGGTGATGGTGACGCCGAACCAATTGTCTGTCGAGATGCAATTCCATCCGGTGGGATTATGAGATTGCTTCCTCCAAGTTCTGGTGATGGTTCATCTTCCAGACGCCAAAGCCCTTGATTTGCAATCGGTGACGTATTATCTAGAAGAGCAAATAAAATAATTATTATATTTTGAGAAATTCTTTTTCATAAATCTTTTTTAATTAGAAAGAAAATGATGAATTTCAAAGATATAAAGATTCGCGAGAAAGCAGAAAAAGAAAGAAAAAGTAATTGATCTAGAGACCATCGTAAAATTCCAACAAAGGATCTACTAATTGGCAGTGCACCATTTCTGGTGGCCAGATTAAATAAGATGTGAATAGAAGGACGAGGAAAAAGAAAAAGATAGAGAAAAAGAAAAAGGTGTAAAACCAGCTTTGATTTTAGATTCTGTGATTTCTTTCTTGATTTCTGGACTCGCTACGATCAAGAAAAACATGCGTAAAAAGATTACGACGACGATGACGATGAGTTTCTTGATACGAAGAGAAAAAGATGAGGAAAATGTGTGAAAAAAAACCTGGTCGCTTTAAAGTTGCTGCCAAAGGTGAAGAAGCCAATTTTGAATCGGCTATTAATGGGTTGAAAAAGATTAAATTGTAAAATGAAAGAGAAAAGAATTGATCGTTCTTTATTCTGAACCTCTAAATTCTTGAAAGGGCAGCCCTTTTTCAAAATATGGCGTTACTGAGCTATCTTTTTCTATGGAATTAAAAATGGGGAATTGATATAGGCAAGTTTAGACCGGATATTTATAGACTGTAGAAAAACAATTGGCCACTAAATCATTCAATTTCTCGTACGATAAAGATGATGAAAGAAACTACGATACAATTGTCATGATATATGGAGATAAGGATAGGAAATATGGTGAGAGGTAGGACACCACACACCACATCAATTACCGAATCGTAGCGAGATGCCAAAGACAAAAACCAAGAAATGAGGCCAACTTCATTATTTTCAAAACCAGGATCGACTTGAAATCAACCCAGATTAAATCGAGTGTTGGGTCGGTCAAAGACTTTGCCATACACTCACACGAACTCTTGAGTAAAGCGCAAAATGCATTCTGGTATTGAATTCAAGTCGAACGGAAAGAACAAATTGCTTTTGATCGTCGCCTATGAGCGAAAGTTTGTTTTGTGATCGTAGGGAGCGACGTGCGTGTATTACCTTACCTAGAAATTCGTCCATTAAGGCTAAAATGCCGTTACCAGCTTGCATTTCTTTGTGCTCATTTGGAGAGTTTGCGTTATGTTGCTTCGTGAGCTATTTTTTATATGTGAAGTAACCGTCAATAAATTCGAGACCCCAAAATATTATCCGATATATCCGGCTTTGTTTTTATCACACACTAGAAACAAGGGTTTCAAGTCCAAACACACAATGAAAAAAACATACACAAAGAATAATTCAAGCGCATTACCCTATAATCCCGCAATAGATTTTTCCATTTTACGTGGCACTGATGAAAGGTGAACAAGTGACCTTTCAAGTTCAAATAAGCGGCAACTTTTTCCCAAATGGGTTTTGTCCGCTTATTTGCACGAAACTCTTGATCAGTTTGTCTTCGCGCCTCAATGAGGCATTTAGTCGCTTCGTCTTCCCAAACGATACGCTGTGGTGTTGTTGACATTTATCTTTATTTAGAATATATATATATATAATAGTAGTGAGCGTAACACATAGGGGATGAGGGTTGGACTGGATTTGGGATTTGAGAAGCGAGAGAAGTGTGCATATAGTATAGTAAACAGACTTATTAACTATAATAATTGTAATAGTTAATGTTGAAAACGCACCCACTTTTTCGTTACTTGAGAAAACACAAAGTACAAGCAAAGGAGAAGGAGAAGCCAAATCCGGACCGTTTATCACATCAATCCGAATCCGAGACTGAGAATATAAACAATACCACAGAATGCCCATTTTTTCAATGAGATCAAATATGTGGATTGACGTCATTTTATTGGTCCACGCGGAAAATTTCGTTAACATTAGACTGATTGATTGATTGATAACTTATTAGATTTGGGAACTCGTAGCCCGACTTCAATCTAAACTGTGTTATGTCGATCAATAAAATTCAACCTTGATTTTTCGGTAATAACAGAAAATGACCAATCGTGCTATTGTCGATTCTATGAATCACCTTGATCAATTAATATTCTCCGATGACCCGCATCATCCCGCGAATCTTATCACAGAATTATGTGCGTTGTTCTATAATTTGGGTTGGGTCACTGGAACTGGGTAAAGAATGAGAATCTCTTTATTTTGATTCTTTGGAAATGATTGAGATGACAATTATTGATCTTTTTAAAAAATTCTCGCTTGTGTAAATAATACTTAATGTGACTAGTGGAGGAATATCTATAAGAAAGGAGTAGGTGATTTTAAAAGGATCAAGTTTTTTTTTTTAGAATCTGAGAGTAAGTTGCGAATCTAATCATCATTTTATATTTATAGTGATAATGTATATATTGCACCATCAGGTAATTCATAATCACTAAAATAAAAATTATATTTTTTATCGATTCTCATAGTTCTCTAAAAAAAAAAAAAAAAAAAACAGGCGTACAAAAAGAACGAATCCAACCACGCGATTTATTCATCCTTTCTTTGAAAACAAGAGTCCCTCTTCGCGCACCCAAACTTCTAAGACCATCCGCGTGTACTCCACTATTCTACAACGCATACACAATGCGTAACGCCGGCGCGTGTATTCACACACACTCTCAAAATGCTGTATTAGCTACGTTAATGTACCCGGGAGACACTTTTGAAATCACACATCAGGAAATGATTAAAGGAATCAGAAGAGGTAGTACCAAAGAGAATTTAAGATATTTTGATACGTGTGTTGTGCCAATTGTGGAAAATACACCCAAGGAAGAAGATTTGACTGAGAGAATGGCAAGGGTAAATAAAGATGAAAATGATTTATCAGCAATTAAATGTTGTGAACCTTTATAATATTTTCCTTGTTTTGGGTGTATTAGGCGATGGATAAATATCCCGAGACTAATGCTGTCCTGGTGCGAAGACATGGTGTATATGTATGGGGAGGTAACGTGGTTATTTTTTATTCAGTTATTCAGTGCATGAACATTCAAATAAATTTTTGAATTGAATAATTTCGCAGAAAGCTGGGAAAAAGCAAAGACGATGGCTGAATGTTATGATTATTTGTTCGAGATTTCAATAAAGATGAAACGATTGGGACTGGATCCAACCGCGAAACCTATTGACGAAGCTATATAGATTATTTTTTGGCAAATTTTATATATAAACGATTTACATCGTTGTATAGTCAAATTATTTAATTCTAAAAAAATTAATCGAAATAATCTATTGTAAGTCCATTCTTTGGTTTGATTTATTCACATTATGATTTTATTAATGAATAAACGGAAATTTTAGCAGAGTCAACATAGTTTTGGTTCAAGCTGTATCTCAAAGACATGAATTGCATTCCGTTATTTCTGTAAGTCAGATTAGAAAAAGAAGCCATTAGATTATATATATATATATATATTCTAACACCAGGAAATAACTCCAGAGTAAATTTCTAGTATAACTTATTATGAAAATTCAGATTGAGTATTTTGGAGCTTCCCTCTTGTAGACTTCCAAGAAACTTTGAATTCTTACAAATTAGGAGCTTTAAAAACGCGTAACGGTGAATAATGATTTATTCCATGATGAACCTATCATTTGGAGATTATGTGTATAACAAAGTACAGTCATCCCTCTTTATAAGAACATGGTCGGGCCATAAAAATTGGTTCTTATAGAGAGTTGTTCTTATAAAGAGGTTATTTTTATTATCAATATTAATTATTCGGTTCTCAAAATTGTGTTCCTATAGAGAGGTGTTCTTACATAGCGTGTTCTTATAGAGGGATGACTGTACATGTATTTATTGACAATTATACCAATCAAAAATAAACACATCTATCAACCCAATTTTTACATAGCGATAGCCAAGAGGGAAATAATAAAAATTTCATTCTTTCCATTCGCTCTCTCTTTCCCTCTTTTGTCTCCTATCTTCTTTCACATTCAAACATCAATCGTAAAGTAACCCATCTCAAGCCTTGAGAACACAAAAAAATATATAGAATAAACGCGATGGAAACAGGCTTGTTTGTAGCGTATCTTGCCTTGTGTAGTATGGCAGTGGGGCCAATATACTATGGGTCATTTGCCTCGATAAAGTGGCCAAAGGTAAGAAAGAACGAGACAATACAGTGACAATTATCTTGGAAAGTATTCTTTTTGCAAAACTTCAACTTTTGCTATCTCGTATTTTATCATGGCCAATTCAAATCTTCAGAAAAAGAAATCCAAAAAAGGACCACAACCCCATGATTCAGATTCCTCAGATGAAGAGTCGATCGAGTCGTTATCCACCGAAGATGCCTATCTTTTCCCGTTTTTCGGTTCCATAGTATTATTTTCACTGTATCTTATCTTCAAGTTATTGGATAAAGATTACGTGAATTATCTGGTCAATGCGTACTTCTCGTTTCTTGGGATTATTGCGTTGACTAGTTTGGGTGCTCACATGGTACGAAATTTCGTCGGGATCAAAGCAGATGCCTATCGATTCATCCTGACTAAAAAATCAAAAGGTATGACTCCAAAAATCATCGATCGAGTGAATTAGAATATCTTTCTCGAATAAATACTAAAACAAGTAACGAAAATAGAAATCTACAAAACAAGCTTTACCGTGATACACATTGGCGCGTTTCTCTTGTCGGTTCTACTCACTGCGTATTATATCTTTACAAAAAACTGGATTGCTTCAAATCTGTTCGGTCTCGCTTTCGCGTTCAATGGTATAAAAATGCTATCGTTGGATTCATTCAAAACCGGGATGATCCTGTTGAGCGGTTTATTTTTCTACGATATTTTCTGGGTGTTTGGCACGGAAGTGATGGTCACGGTGGCAAAAAGTTTCGACGCACCCATAAAAGTGGTATGGCCAAAAAAATTTTTTGGCTTGGAATCGGAAGAAGCATTACAATTCACCATGCTTGGATTGGGTGATATTGTCGTTCCTGGTAATTCCCCATTTCTTATTTCTTGTAATTGTTTTCTTGTAATTGAATGGTACCTTAATATCAATCCCTTTCAATTTTGGCAGGAATTTATGTCGCACTCTGTTTAAGATTTGACCACAACATATACTTGAAAAAGAATCCAAACGCCGCTAAGCACTCTTCATTCCCAACCACATATTTCAATAGTTGTTTCGCGGCTTACCTCATAGGTCTTATAACCACTATTGTCGTAATGCACACTTTTAAAGCTGCCCAGCCTGCATTATTATATCTATCCCCGGCCTGCATTATCTCTGTTTTAATCACCGGCGCTATAAAAGGAGAGCTCAAAGAGTTATTCATATATTCTTCACAGACTGACGAGGAGAAGGCGAAGAAAAAGGCCGAAGAACAAGAAAAGAAAAAGAAGGGTAACAAAGCGACCAACAAAAAAAAAGAAACTAGCGATGAGAATACCGAAGAAGAAGGAACCAAAGACAAATCGGTGGCAGATGCAGCAACTGAGGAAGAATACGTGGAGGTGGAGTCATTGGCTGGCGGCGCCAAAAATCGGAAAAATAAAAAGAGCACAAAAAAGAATCATTGACCGATGATAATGGACTTATTTTGGACTTATATTATTTATTTGACTTGCTACTTCATTCATTGAAGAAAGCTCTAAATGAATGAACAAACGACCGAAATATTAAACGGACATTATTATTCTATTTTCACAGTTATTTAATATACTGAAAATAAAGCTAATAAGTTACTTTTCTTAATAATAATAATAATAATAATGAGTAACAGTGAGAAAACAAATAAAATATAATTCAGTACAATTGAATTCATTTTCATGCAAATTGAAGAATTATGAAATTATTTGAGAAATTAATTATCACCCAATTTATTATTATTATCCTCTATAACAAAAGAAGCCAAAAAAACGAAGTTTCAGACTAAATAAATTAAATAAAAAATTTACAAAAAATCACGCACGCTCGGCATGTTAACGTACGCAAAACATTCGTTCTTTTTTTTTTTAGTTGGTTTTGGGACGAGAGCAAGTGTATTAACATCAAACATTTTGCTATGTCATTTCGACCGTTTCCTGTTTTCGATACTCTTGTTTCGTACGCCATATACGAAGACGTTGCGAGATATTAGTTACGGAGTTTTTGAATCCTAAATCCCATTCAATGATAAATAATCAATGTGTATATATAGTTATTATGTTTGACCGAAATTGAAAAGAAAAAATTTTTATTCTTACCTCGAATCGAAAACGTATCTTTGTGTTTGACACGAATGATCCAAAAAGGAACTCCAGCCGAAATAAAACCTAATGCAGCCAAGGATTCGAGTGGAACTCGAATAAACGGCATAACCACAAGAAACACGGCAACACAACAGAAAATGATCGGTGTAGTTATCCAGACGCGATATGGTCTATTTAATATGAAAGAAACCGATTATTTCTTATTTTACAAAGATAGCGATGAAAATATAACGAATAGATAAAAAAAATACCTTGGTAAGTCGGGTTCACGCCACCGCAGAATCAACAATCCGAAAGACGTCAGAAAATAAAACACCCAAGCGGCAACCGAATAGAAATTGACCAGTGTCGCAAAAGTACCCGCGAGAATCATTAAGATTGTCAAGGAAGCTTGCATGGCTAATGCAGCTGTCGGAGTATTCCATTTCGGATGTACTTTACCAAAAACTGAGGGAAGATATCCCTCACGACTTGCTACGTAGATAACACGTCCACCGGTGAATATACTTCCATTTACTGCACCAAAACAACTAGCTGCTACGCATAAGGCAAATAATAAGCCTCCTGTTGCACCGAAAATCTTTTTGCCGAAATCCTATTTATTTGACGTTATCAAATATTAATGAAAACCGGATATGAAAAAAGATGCTATAAACAGATTTTCCTTACCAATGCAATTGTGTTCGTATTCTTGACAATATTTGATGGTAGCACAGCATAATATGCTACATTTGCCAGCAAATAAAATACTATCACCATCGGTAGGCCGAGCATAATAACGCGTGGTAAATCACGCGAAGGATTTTTCATTTCCCCAGCAACGAAATTTACATTATTCCTAATAATAACAAATCGGAAAAAATCAGAGATCAAAGTAAAACAATAAGAATAACAATTGCAATCAATCTTCTTCCTCACCAGCCATCGTAAGCCCAAAGTCCTAATTTCAATCAAACTTTGAATTTGAGTCAATACCAAAAACTATTAAAAAACTTAAACCCCAATTTCAAACACATCACCCAAAAGCTCGTCGACACACCCCTAAATAATGAATGAGTCGATTACAAACCTGAATAAAAAGCTAGAGCGTAATCTCCTAAAGTTTCCGAACTATCCGCAAACAGATCTCCCTCGAAATTCTCCGTTATCCCACCTTTTCCTAATACCACAAAGCCAATTATTGCAATGACTGCAAGCGCAATTAATTTCACTAACGTGAAAAAATCCTGAGTACGGGTGGCTAAACGCACGCTATACACATTTATGAACGAGACGATCAATATACAGAACGATGCCATTATTTTATTGAACCATTGATGAGTTTCATTGCTCGGATGATCAGTTTCTTTTTCGAAGGCGGTATGATAAATAATACGATTAATATATTCGGCGAAAATCATGGCAATGATCGCATTACTTCCTGGCTATTGAAGAATAAATACTTAATATAGATGCACTGCAAAAAAATAATGTCAACGAATAAATCTCACCAACCTTTAGACACGTAATTGCTGTCCAACTAAATAAAAATGCCGGCAAACTACCATATGCATGCGATAAATAAGCATGATCCCCTCCTGAAAGGGGTATTTCCGCGCCCAATTCCGCATATGAAAGCGCGCCAGTGCAAGCTAACAAACCGCACGCCAACCACACCATCAAAGACATTCCTACGGAGCCAGCATGTTCCGCTACAGGTCCAGGCGAAGCAAATATCCCTGAACCAATCATTAAGCCAACAACCAAACTCACCCCATTCCAAAACGTCACTTCTTTTTCAAGGTGTGTAGGACGTCGTTGTGTCTCGGTTAATGAAAGTGGTATTAAGTGATCATCATAATCTAGAATCTCACTTAATCTTCGCGAATGTGCACTTGTGGTAGAGCTACTGCCACTTGTTTGGTTTAGAAAGGTTAATTGGTCGTCGTTGTCTTCGTTAGAATCGTCGTCGTCGTCGTCTTCGTCTTGGCCAATATCGGAATAGTCGACCACATCTTCGGCCGCATGCAAACTATTTAATTCAAAACTACTATTATTGGTTTCTTCTTCCTCTTCAGGTACATTAAATAAGACTGTTCTAGCTTTATTTTTAGAGATGGACATGGAACAGATTCAAAGATTGAAATTATAAATTTTTTTGAGAACAAAATGAGGTTTACACTTATTTATCGTTATGGTACAATAGTTCCTAAAAAGGTTATCAACTAGAAAATTGTAGAGATAATCATCATATCGAATATTGATAAATTTTTTTATCTATCGAAACGCCATGCCACAAACTAAAAAATCAAGAAGGATAGTTCGCTATCAAAAACATGCTTCAAGCACACCATCAAACACTTTTTCCTCATTCGTCGCCCCCTACAGAAAGCCACTTCCTTCTGATACTCAAACAACTTCAAAGAAACATTCCAATAATACCATTATGCATAATAATATTAATAATAGCGGAAAGACAAAAGTCGCCAAACACCTTGGACGGAAAAACTCGTCGCTTCTCGAAGAATTGGATTCAATGATGGATGACTTTTTTCCACAATTACTAACAACAGTAAATGGAAAGAAGACGAAGGGGATCGTAAAAGGAAATAATAATAATAATAATAATCATCATCATCATAATAATAATTTGAAAGAATGGGATAATGCTGGTGATATGCAAATAGCAACGACTGGAAATTCACAAAAAGAAGAGCAGATCGATGGGTCTGTCTTGAATAAGGAACTTGAATTAACTGTTCAGGTGTTGAGTAATCTTGATGTAAAGGAATAAATTTATTATTGGCATTGGTCGAAAAGTTTAAGTGAAAGTTGAATAAATTACGTAGTTAGAAATATTAACGCTAAGAATATAATTATCAATTAATTGTCAATTTAAATGTTTGCTAGATTAAATTACGATTAATGTTAACGTTAATAAATTAAAATGGTCAAGGCGCAAGTTTATAAATTTAGCACCCTGCATCTCGGCGATTCTCTCCCAAAAAAGGGTGCCAAGCTGGTGTCCCTACTTTAATGCAGAAGCTCGAGTGAACGCCCCTAGGATATCCGCTGACGAGTGTGTTGATACAAATGATTGAAAGTGAAGGGTGATATAACGTCCGTTTTTAAAATCAAATTGAGAAACAAATCTCTGGATTGTACAGTAGTTGATACATTTTTTTTATTTTCGATAATAATTTATGACTATTCAAAAGATTAATTAAAAAACTCAATGACGATGAATAGATTAAAATAATAAGTTTGCATCAACTAGGAAAAGTCTCTTTAGATCGATGATCCGATGATTTAATCATTGCAGAACAGAAAGAACAATAAAGCACGTTGTGCATACACGATAAAGTGACGTAGCACTATTTTATATCCTAATCGAGTTTTTAAAAACCCAAATAGAGTAAATTATAATTTGTCGAAATTCAGACGTGTTAAATCTTGCGACACGTCGAAGTTCAAAAGATCCGATAAGGTATTATTATTCTCGCTTATTACAATATAGCAAAACAAGGCAAAGAAAATCCATTCCATCATCGCTCGACTTTTATATTTGATGAATGCTATTCATTATGTAGCAATAATAACCGAGTGGTACAAGTGCTACAACATATATACGCATCTTGATGATGCAAGAGCGCGTATACTCTTTTTAAAAAATTAGACAAATTAGGCAAGAGTTACCCAAATGCACGACGAAGATGTCTCGTATAAAATCGACACGAAAATTTCGGATCATTTTCTTTACCCCTTTCGTCGTTAAATTTTTTTTCGTAATAATAATAATATTAGTAAAAAGAAATTTAGCACAGCGACCAAAAATAAAATGACGAAAAACGGTTCATTAATGTCCCCGTTATATTGGGGCTGTCTAGGGGTCATTATTTTGTTATTGAGTGTCGTAATTGGCACGAATACTGTTAGCGCTGACTTTTCTCCAAGCAGTTTTAAGTCTGTGGAGGATTGTATCAAAGGGACGGGCTCTAATATCATTTTATCGAGTGACGCTAAATACGCAGATGCTCGTAGTGGTGAACGGATAAGGTATCTGAGGGTATTTCGTGTTTGTGTTATGTAGGAGTTGGAAGAAAAACTAAAGTTTTTATGTTGCTTTTCAGAGTTTCTACTTTCCCAAAAGCAATCAGTTATCCGTCAAACTCTACTCAAGTTAGTTGGCTGGTAAAATGCTCAATTCAATTTAGTTTTCCTCCCGTGCCAAGAAATGGTGGTCACAGGTAATTTGTGTTAAGTTGAAAATCATTGGTTGATCATGTCATATGATAATAAATTATTAACCGATAATTCATCCGATTAAATAATAGTTCCGAAGGATATTCGTCAGTAAATAACTCGATTGTGATTGATCTTAGTTACATTGACTTTGTATCAGTTGACAAATCTTCAAAGACTGCATGGGTTGGTGGAGGAATTCGTCTTGGTCCATTATATTTGAAATTAGATAAAGAAGGTTTCACCATTGTCTCTGGTCTTCACCCAACAATCGGTCTATCAGGTATTATTGGATCAGGTGGATGGGGATTACAATCTCGTAAATATGGTACCACTGGTGATCACGTATATGAAGCAGAAGTAGTCAACGCCAACGGAGACATTATCACAGCTAATAAAGACTCTAATAGCGATCTGTTTTGGGCTTTACGTGGTGGTGGTGGAGGTGCATATGGGATTGTTACTGGATGGAGATTGAATTTGATTGAGGCCTGGAAAGATATTATCGCCTGGCATATTGGATATCCAGTTCAATTCGCCGAAAAAGTAATTTCTGTTTGGAACAAATGGGCATGGAAAGAACGTGATGACATGACAGCAATACTTACAATTACTCATCCTGGACCTGGCACTTCTGAGCATGATTTTGGCATAAAAATTCGTGGACATTTCCTTGGTACTAAGAGTGAATTCGACAAAATTGTTTTAGATAGTGGTATCGATAGTATCACCCAATTAACATGTATTGAATCTTGGGTCTGTGATAATATGGGAGCACGTGCTTACTTCCTTGGTGACACCTACAGTTGTGGCAACGTCGATCTCTTCAATATCGGGAATCAACCATACGCCAGTTACAACTATTCAATAGGCTTGGCGGAATCAATCACCACTAGCAGCAATTCTCTCACTACTACATACTCTGTAACATATAATGGAAATGCTGGGAATGTTACTAGTGGCGTGATTGATGGATACAAACCTGGCCCAGTACAAATTCGTGAATATGAGAAAAGTAAATCAATGTACTTTAGTGGTGAACTCACCGCCGAACAAATAAAAATTATTGTAGCACTTATAAATGATCTCCCGAATGGTGCTTTTGTGAAATTTTCTCCTTATGCAGGAATATTGGCAACACAGGCTAATGATATGACAGCTTTCAGACATCGTAAAAATACTGCTTTTCATTTGGAAGTTGGTATTGCACTTACCGGTAATAGTGAGAAAGATTCGGCGTTTTACGGATGGATTAGGAAATGGGATACTCAAGTACGCGTTTTTTCGAATGGTTTTTCATACGTGGTAAGTTTTATTTTTTGAATATCCGAGTTTATATGAATCAGTTAAAAATCGTGATCAATTATTAAGTTTATTTTGATTGTTGTCAGGGATATGTTGATTCTGATCTTGTGACTGGAACCGCCTTTTCATCATCTTCCTCATCGTCTTCCTCATCATCATCTTCGAATTCTTCCTCATCATTCAATTCTACATTTACTTCGTCATCCTCATCATCAACTTCAACATCAATCTCTTCGTCTGGTGGAACCTCTTCATCATCAAATGGTACTTCTGGAGGTGGTGCTTCGGGTAGCAGCAACTCATCATCAAGCTCCTCCACTTCCCAAAGCGCCTCTTATGTATACTTTGGCGAAAATTCACCACGTCTAGTCGTTATCAAGGGCAAATACGATAGTAAAAATATTTTCACCAATTCATTGACACAATCGCTCAATGGCAACGGTGATTGCAATTGCACGGATAAGAGTGGACCAGGAATACGATCAGATGCTGCTGCTACCGCGAAACCATCAAATTACTTGATTACTTTTGTGTGGGCTGTTTCATTGACGTTTTGCGTTTTCAAGGTGAACCGATATACCATGTTTTTTTAATGAATGATTATAGAAGAGATTTAGATTTTTTATTTATCTTTAATTACACCAATCAAAACGAAAAGTAGTGAAAGAATCGATCAATTTTTTTTTGATTAGGATAACAAACAATAATCGATTCTTTAATTCTAATAATTAATTCAATCAATCAATCGGATATTTTTTTTTTAGTATAGTTAAATCAGAGATATGAATATATGTTCATTAGTTGGTTCTTAATTTTGTATAAATCACACACGAATTAAAAAAAATCTAAACATGTATTATTTGGTTTCGATATATTAAACTAACTTAATAATTTAATGTTTAGAAGTTAGATTGTTTTTCTTTAGCTTTAAGATTATTATTTTCTCAGATATCAGATTGCAACAACATATAATAAATACAACAAACAATATAAAAAGAAATTATAATTTTTCACTCTAGAAAATTTTGAATATCAAAACAACAAATCTCTTTTATAATCAAAATGTGATTATAATAATTGAATATGATAATTTTATTATAGTTGGCTCTTGAAAAAAATGTAATTATAAAGTGATTTTTATAAATATTAAAACCAATTTCTAATTCTAAAAATCATAAAAATTTTTATATTAAACTAAAAATCATAATCTATATTTTAATATGTATATATAATTAATAAATATAATAAAATTGAAATTTTTGTCTTTTAGTAACAATAAAAAAATATAATTTATTAATAAATATAATAAAATACAGGTTTTTTTATATATTTTAATTATACAAATTAATCAATTTACTTTGTAATTAGAAAAACTTTTTCAGATTAAATATATAATTAAAATCTTTTATAATAGTACTATATATATTAAATTAACTTATATCATATTAATATATCAATTTTTATAAATTTAACTATTTACAATTGACGAATCTCTTTATAACAAATTCTGAATATAATGAATCTTAAATTTTATATTAGTTCATATAAAAAGAATAGTGAGCTATATAGAAATATAATAATAAACTTTTTTTATTGTATAAAAATAAAAAATATTGATTGATAAAATAAAAACTTTTATATAAAGAACAAAGTCTATATTTTATTAATAAATTTTGAATTTGTTACATTTCTTTAATTATTATTATATTTGTTTTTATATAAATACTTATTATTTTATATATTTTTAATTTATGAATATTATATTGATATATTTTATATATTATATTATTATAATAAAAGAATTATTTATAAAAAATATTGAAATATAAAAATAAAATTATAAATATTATTGATTTTTATTTAAAAAATAAATTTAAAAATATAAGAATAAACATTAAACATGTATTAATTTCTTTTAGAAAAATATTAGAAAATATTAAAATTATAAAGTTTTGATTCTGAAAATAATTCAAAGTATAATAAAAATCTGGAATTTTTCAGAAAAATCTGGAATTTTGAAACTAAATTGAAAGTTTATTGAATAAATTGGTAAATTTAAATAAAAATGAAAAAATAATATACAGAAAAAGAACAGATTACTTTTTTTTTTCCTAACAATATTTAATATAAGCTCAGAAAAATATCCAATTATTTTTTTAATTTTTATTGATTGCTATTCAAAATTATATTTATAATAAAACTTTTTTATAATTATACTTTGACAATGTGATTGTAAAGAAAGTTAACTATAAAAAATTATATATAAAAATGCAATAAAAAATAATTAAAAATAATTCGATTAAGAATCCATCAGATAATGTTCATTTGAAAAATTAATTTTGTATGATCGCATATTTAAATATTTTTATTGGTCCACATTACACATGCAGTATTTGCAAATTTACAAATAAATTGCTGCGCAAAAATGCAGTGAAGTATGATGACATATTAATATACATGATCGCAAGAATGTGACACTTATTTGTCACAGTATTTTTTTACTAGGTCGCAATTAAAATCTACAAGTCGCAATAGGTGACAAATAAGCATCACACGGTTGCAACTCCATCTTTATTCGGAATCAGAAGAAAGAAATCAGGGAAGAGAAATTTACAATGATCATGCCGCGGGTATAAGGATCGAAATTCTGCAACCTAAAAACGGGTACACAAGACATACAAGGAAATATACAATATACAATATACATTTCATGTGACGAAAAGTTTGTGTTTGCATATTTACATGTAACATGGTATTGCTGCGGGTGCTTAATTCTTTACTAAAAACTCGATAAATATATTTTTTTGTTGACATTTCGTCGGCAATTACCACTAATACAAAAGTACCAAGCAACCGTTTACTCTTCCGCATCGAATAAGTTTCGAGGTAAGAACTTCACTTTTACCAACAACATCACTCCACTATTATGAACAGCCGCCATGCCGCAGCAAAAACGTAATACTTGAAACTACCAAATAATACTCTCCACTAATATGTTATGTATTATTATATTGTCTCGGGACGCTTATGTCGGCTTCCAGCACAGAGATTCATATATATATATATATATTTGATAATATTCGGATATTTACAAGTAGTTGAGATAAACAAAAACAAGTAAACAAAACAAAAGCGAAATCTAATAGTCAGCAATACAGGACAAAAACAAAGTCTGTTCTGAATCAGTAGAAAGTAAAAAATCCTCGTTCGCGCGTCTTTCTACTTTATCAACAAATGTTAATATATTGGCAAAAGGTTTAAAGCAACTATACTTACTACTACTTTCCGTGAAATAGTCATAACTACCCAAATTTAGGCAAACCCATTCTTGATTTTATAATCATTTCGCGTATAAATAAATCATAATTTCCCGCCCTTTTCTTTTTTTCTCTCCTCTTTTAAATTCCATCATCATATTTTCACACGCCCACACCTCGTATATTATCCTCTTTTTATATTAATCGATAATAATTAATTAATTCTTGTCAGATTGCGGCTGACTTAATAATTATTTTATATTTTATCTTGCTTCTTTTACACCATGTCGTATATCAACGGATCATCTTTGTAGATAAAAATTTTCACCTTCATTTTCAACACTCTACTCCATAACAAAGACAAGATAAAAGATAGTTCGGTAAACATCATTCGCCTGAAGTTGGTGTTCTACTTTTTGCCCAAAAAAGCCAAAGAAAAACCTAAAAGACAATCACAGTAGTATTCTACCATCAAAAAAACAACAAAATTCAATATCTTATCCGACACTTATTTAATTATTTGGTCTATCCCGTCATAATAACACCCGCCCGCTTCTCATTTCCAATTCTCAGGAAATAAAATCAAATTCCCATTAATATTATCTTTAGTATTTTTTCGTCAAACTCACCGATCTAATATTTAAATAGAAAAAAAAATGTTGCAGGTAGAATCTTTATTATTGTCGAAAATCCATTATCAGCAAGATCCATCTCAACAACTGTCCTTACAAAATCCGGCATCCTGCAGCGGTGCCGGATATACTCATCAGAATGGATCCGCATTTTGGACTGCCGTCGCTAGTTCATCTTCCACGCTTAATAATCAACAGGTTCCTCATAGTCCAGTCTCGTCCTCGTTTAGTAGCGATGAAGATGAAATTATCACCAAGAAATCATTCGATGTTTCTCCGGGAAGAACGGCAAGTTATTCTTCGGAAGGGTCAATTAGCAGTTCACCGCTTCAATCATCTTCTGGCTCGTCAATGATCTTTTTGTCACCGTCGATGATGAACGTGGAACAATCGCTTCCAAACCCTCGTTATGCGCAAAATCAACAGTCAGAAAATAAAAAACAACAGCAACAGTCAATTTCTCAGGAACAGCAACAACGTCTGGAACAACAATATCTCCAACAACAATATCTTAAGCAACAATATGCGAATCCTACTGGAAAAAATGAACCCATTCTTAGAACCGTAGTTGATACCAATTTTGTAGTACAAAAATATCAAGCATCCCAGACTCGAGAAATTCTTGATGATAGGAAATATGATCCGCCGGATTCGTATTGTCGCACTTTTATTGATTCCGGTTCCAAAAAATCGACATCGAGTTTATCAAGTAATCTTGAGCATTATAAATTAACAAATAGTATACCAAATAAAAATACGGATTTAAATACGCCTGTGATCGCGATTCATCGCGGAAGTGGAAAAAGAATGAAGACAGAACATGGGTCAATCAATGGTTTAATAAAGGATGGTAAGTTTATTTTCTTCTCGTCTGACAACAAGAAAGGAGTTGAACTATAGAAAATTTCAAATGAGCGTTGTGATTATCTGTTTGTCTCTGGATAATTGTGTTGCGTTAAAAGAAAGGTTTGCAAGCTATAAAAAAATAATAACACGGATGGGAGTGCGAGAATTCAAAATTTTTATTGAGTTTTTTGTTACGTTATGGTCCACCTTATTTTCGTGTATACTCTTCAAAAGTATGCAAATTTTAGTGGGGTGTGGCCATATATTCTTCCTCCATATTGCAGGTCTCAACGGGCTATCAATATGGGTCAAGATTCTCATATTGCTGTTTCTTCTGCTGCTACTTCTGTGCTAGTGCTCTTGTCTGCTACTATAACCGCTTCAACTAAGATGATTTATTTTCATTTTATTGTAACTTTTCATATGTGTATATATACATTTTTTTTTTGAAATTTTTTAATATTTTCAAACTTTATTTTTCTATAACCAGCGAGTCAATCGGGATCATATGAATCACAGTCGATCACAAATAGAAATGTTTTATGCATTTCTCCAGAGTCAACCTTGAATGAATTCTCGAAAATGCACATCACTCATACGTCGCAGCAGCAAGAATCGTATCCTATTAGTTTGCCATTGCCAAAGCTTAAAATGCTTCCACCACCACAACGCGCGATGAGTGATACGTTTATGTACACACAGTCAAAAGATCAGCACAAGCGATCTCGTTCATTCTCAGAAGAGGAAAACAGAGAAATTCATGCTTTTATGTCATCTCATGATTCTCATCGTAATCATGACTCAAAATCACGAATTATTGCTGCATCTTCTCGTCTCGGACCGAACCAAAGATACTTTTTACAACAACAACAATCAAAAGTTAAAAATGAAAACTTCAACGGAAATCATCACGGTACCTTTAATGGAAATGCAAATGGAAAATTCAACGACAACGGAAATGAAAACGGAAACAAAAAATCCAATGGAGAAAGTAATGGAAATGAGAATGAGTGTGATTTTTCAATTCTCAATATAATTCCCACATTGATTAGCGAAAAAAGCAGAAAAGCAGCGTTTGTTGAAAACCTTGTGGGTGAGTAGAGGTATACAAATATTGTATATAATAATTTGTGCTGCTTTATTGCTTTTCAAAAATACCATGTAATGGATATATGTTCTATTTAATTAGACACGGCTTCCCTCATTATCGAAGTGATTTGGTCTCATTTCCACATCAACCCTGCTGCAAAAATCATTCCTCTTCGAGTTTTTCTTCAGGAGACACTTCGAAGATCTAGAACCTCTTATTCAACTCTTCAAACTGCACTTTTTTATCTTTTCCGCATTAAAACACAAATCACGTCGCGTGCTTTTCAACTTCCCTCTAATAGATCCAGCAGCAGTAGTAGTAGTAGTAGTAGTAGTCGTCCAGATCAACCGATGACGGCTAAACCCGAACCTCGCGCCCCTAAAAGAGACAACAATGACCCGGCCACATGTGGTCGTCGCATGTTTCTAGCAGCGTTGATTATCGCGTCAAAATATCTTCAAGATCGAAATTACTCTAATAAAGCTTGGTCAAAAATTTCTGGACTCCCTGTGAAAGAGATTAATCAAAATGAAATTGTCTTTTTAAAATTGATCGACTATAACCTGTTCATCAGTGAAGATATCTTTAAACGATGGAGCAGTCTCTTATTGACACATATTCAGGCTATTTCTGGATCATCGATGAAAAATGCGAACTCGTTTAGATTAACTGAAAATCAACGAGAAGTTGAACGATTCCGAGAGAAATTGCGAACTATGGATCCAAAGACTATGGAATGTCAACACAATCGTGGTGGTGATCTCGCTGATATTTTCTTGATTACGCCGGATCAAAGTGCGCCTGCTACTCCGCAAGAATCATCAGATCCTATTAACAAAGACACGAGGAATGTGCAGAAATTGAGTGGTATCTTAAGTCCACAGGAAATGGATACAAAGATGCAGACTGAAAACAATGGATCAATAATGGATTATGATTGTTCTTCGTCTACTCACACTCCAACGATGATTTACGCACAACCAAATTCTCAATGATCTACGTGCAATCGCTCCAACATCGATATATTTATAACAATCGATTTTAAGGTAATATATGTACAATAGTAATAATATGGCGAATTATCCTCAAAACATGGCTAAACTATAAATATTTACATAAAAAATAATAATAGGTTACGAGATCATTTACCGAATCGGAAGCTTTAATGACCATTCTATTATTGAGTACATCTTTCACCTTTTTTTTTATATATATTTTTTTTATATTTTATTTTTGAAAACGGGCATATTTAACGTACTAGTCAAATTAACATCTCGAATGTCAATTACTAGCTCTTCTATGCATTTCTCTTATTTCGCGTTGTTAAATCCAGTGCCGAATGTGAAAATTACAAAAACTAGCATATACATAGTTTTATATGTCATCGTTTCTTTTGTTTACGTGTATTTTTACATTCGGATATTATATATCAATTACATGAATTATACAAAATTTTTAGCGTGAGTTCATTATATTTTTTTTTTATTTATCTATCCCCCGATTTTTCTCATCTCCTCACTGAACTGATATATCTAGATATTAAATACATATGATATTTATTTGTTATTAGTCAGTATTAGCGAGTAATAATAATGATGGTGGTGATGATGATGAACAAACAAACAATAATAATAATAATAAGTAATAGTAATGTTTTTTGGTATTATTGTTATTATTATTTGTTTGTGGAATCTAACATAAATATATGTATATTTCTTTTTTTATTTCATGATCGATGCTTTGAGTTTTTTCTTTTATTGTACTTATCATTATCATCATCACCATCATTATTATTATTATTCTTATTATTTCACATTAGCATCTATAATCAAAAAAAATTGAAAACCTAGATTCCAAATTTCACGCGTATTCTTCCAGAGTACTCTTCCTTCCCGATTTTCTTCATTTCCGATTAAACATTGATGCCTAACCACCACTTCGTTCCATTCCTAATATCTACACAACTTAATCGCTGTTCTTTTAGAAAAAGAAATTTTTTTGTATTTGTTTATTTAAGAGTTACCAAATAATTTCTTTAACAAGGGAATACAAAACAATTCATAATTTCTTGGAACGAGATTATGTTGTTGATTAGTGGAAAAACGAAAGTGGTGATTGTGTCGATATTGAAGAGATCGTGAAGAAGGAAATACATATACCACCACCTCAGTATTGCGGACAGAATATGTATATACTCGTGAAATTAAAAAAATTCATTATTTGAACTTCCAAATCAATCACACCACCTTTCGAATTTTATCAATTTCGTAACCCTTTCCCCTCATCCTCTTGTACATAATCACTGAAGCATCAACAGAAAATTTTACATTTATCGTATCCTTTTAATTATTCACTCTTTTCAATTGAATCTTTTTCTTGCTCCCTCTTCCCTTCCTCTATTTTTCGCTCGTCATCATTTTCATCATTTACGACAAGAAAAAAAATACTATCACAAGCTCTGTAGACGACTCCAAAATCACATTCATTATCATTGGCATCACTTCATGTTATCTATCCAATTTACCCTTATTACCTCGTCAAATTCCCTTCACTATTCCCCCCACCTTTTTTTTTCCTTTCCATCATTGTCTTCTTCGCATTATTCACAAAATTTAAAATTTTATCTACATTACCCAACTAAAGCTCAATCTCCGCCAATACATTGATACTATCACTTCTGATCCTCTTCCTACTTTGCTCCTCGCCATCCTCTTTTTACAATCATTATTTCCTAAATTATCACCCAATCTTCTTTCTCTTCTCAACTTTTCACGTTGCTTAAATTTTTCCCCCGAGATTCGAATATTTTTTGGGATCCTGGCTTTAGAACTCCTGCAGCGAGTGATAATGATTCTGGGATCTCAGGGATATTTTTTTCGTATGGATATTAGTAAATGACAAAGAAAAGGTGAAAGGAATTGATTAAAAAACGGAATGGTGTGTCTATTTAATGGTGGATATTTGGGTGGAAGAAGGGTTTCGTTGGATATACGGAAAAATATTTAATATTAAGAAAAAAATGATTGAGTGAATTAATGTCAAAGGAGAATTAGGACTTTTGAAAAAAATGGTTCTATTTTCAATTGTCCTCTATAATTAAATATTTGTTATGAAAAAATGGCGTTATTTATGTGTATCAACGAATTTCCTGAAACGATATCATTATTATTATTAATATACGCCGACCTCTCATAATCAACGACACATGCAATCATTCTTTGAAACTTTTAATGCTCGAGATTTGATTTATTTTTTTTTTATTTTTTATGTTTTATTGGAACCCTTTTTATTTCTCTTATCATCTATATTTTTTATTTTCATCTTATTATCATATTCATATAATATAAATGTATTTTTTTTTAGTTATGGCCAGTTAATTAGTTAATTGTGTTTAAATTCGTCATGCTGTTAATAATTTAATAAAATGGTTTTCATTGAAATTGTCGAACTGGTTTGTCACTAATTTTTACCGTTATCAATTCTTGGATAGCTTACATGTACAGGATTATTGCACCATTCCTGGAATTTTTATCCATAAAAATACTCATTCTAACTCAAAACCTTTAGTATTTTTTTAAAAAATATTTACATCAAAAATTTCAATTTGACCAACTGAAATTTTTTTAATCAGGACAAAATCCATATTAAGACTACTAATTCAAAATGTCCTATTCTATGAAATCCATTTGTCAAGACATGCTACTTGTAAATTTTGTAAGTTCAATGACCAAAAACTCTTTCATGAGAGCGACTTTTGAGTTACACATTAAAAAAAATTTGACCAATGATTATTTCTTGTTGTCTCAGAAAATGTGTTTTTTTATAATGTTTACTAAAACATCATTTCATATTGAAGTCTAATTTCCAAACATATCCGTTATAAAATCCGCAAATAGTGATTTATTAGATCATCGTATACCCTAACCATGACGCAGTAAAGTTATACCACACAATGTTCTTCCGCCAAAGACGGCCGAATCAGTTCTTTCCTCAACTTTTCAAGCATGGCATTGTCGTGTTTCTTTGCAAGGAAAGCACCGGGCTCTACTCCTTCAGGCCAAAGGAGCTCCATGTTAATCGCCATTGGGTATGCGTCCTTATTCCTCACTCCGCACCAATCGAAATCGACGAGCATTCCATGAAACTTCTTGTCCTGGTTGATAACCAGAATGTTTGGACTCCGGAGGTCAGCGAAGACGAGCTCCTGAGGATGGAGCACCTTGGTGATAATATAATTTACATCATAATAAACAGACTCGGCTGCATCTCTATTATCTCGAATGTCTGATATAGTATCGTGTAGCGTAATGGCGTCGACATACTCCATAACGACCTGTCTGTGCCCTCCAGGCATTCTTGGACTTGCGTAGAGCAGCTTTGGAGCCAGTCCTTCCTTGGCACATGATTTGTGAGCATTTTCATGATATTTTTCCACATATTTAACGACGAGCTTCTCACCATTCTCGGTCTCCACAATCCAGACCGGCCTTGTAAGGTCTTTCGTTAACAGGTCGATATAGCGGAACCGTGTGACATTGTGCTTGTGTCCGAAATATTGTAGATATGGGAAAAACCGCGCTTCATTGTCCTCTGAGATATCCTTCACAGAATTGTAGTAGGCACGAAGCGTATCGAAGCCACGTTTCAGTGCCTCAAGCAGCCGGGCGACCAGTCGGATCCGCTTGTCGTTCCGTGATCGATATGTCAAACAGAGGAAATCAGTGAGTGGTTCGACTAAAATCATGTCGCGAAGGTAAACAGCCCCGAGAACGCACATCCAGGGCCCCGCGATGCCGATAACGAAAGACGGACAGCAACAGCGTCTTCGAATCCTTTCATGCTATTAAATACCAACAGTAAGTATATCAACCTGCATAATAAATTATAATAAACCATACCTGGTTCTGAGACCAGTATCTTGCGTAGACAACGCTCCCTTGTATAGTGGGATCGTTTGAACCTGTCCCAATCTCATTTTTGTATTCTAAAATGGCCAGTGCAGCTTCTTGATTCAGTCCGCCAGCTACTGTTTGCAAAGCCGCATCGACTTCGGTCTTATCGGCATTATTAATGGTACTCAGGGGTCCAAAGATATCCTGAAAGGAGCTGTTCATAGCATTGACGCGGTCATTTTCCACATTATAGATCTCTTGTGCTGCACCGATTACACCCATAGTGTTCTTTGCTACATCACTGGTTATTGCCAGTTCCTCATTTTCGAAGTTTTGAACGAATTCGCCGAAAACTTTATGGTAGAGAACGACGGGGGGGCCAATGCGACTGGCAGGTCGGCCTAAGAAAATGATAGAGTTATCTTCTTGAAACTTGCGAAATTTAGAAGGGTAGGATACGCTCAACGGACCAGGCATTGCTAAGACGGTGTCTATGAGCTTCTTTTGTGCTGTGTGAAAAAAATGGTGAGCAGAAACGCTACAGACCTTCTTCCTTGCAAATAGCAAGCAGGTCATACCAACCGTTTTCCACTTGAGTCTCTTGAATCTTCTGCCGTTTGCTACTGCTACCTTCAAGTGATGAGGCAGTCCGTTTAAGAGTCACTGATATGAGGCACAGGTTAGATAAAGGTGAGTGCCAAACATATTTAAATAATCACATATAATTGCGATGTAGTGGGAATTTCGTTCAATGTGATAAAATCAAACATACTTTGGTGTTCCATCTGCAGCGTTGATAGCTCCCTCCTTAGTTGATCTACCTCTTGACTTGTTATGTTGTCGGGTAACTGTACAATAATTTTTATATGTTTGTCGGCGAGAGAGTCAGAAAAATACTCGATAATCTTCGAAAACGGCTCCAATTTCACTCCTTCAAGCTCATCGCCGACATTTGCGTTAAATTTGGTGCTGACGATGTTTAGCTTCTCGTTTGGTTCATTGAGAGGGATGTCCACTTTCCATAACTTGAGTTCATCGGAAGCGAGATTGTCGAAACGTGGTTTTTTTTCCTCTTTGATGGCTTTCTTGAGATAGGCAACTAGCTTATTTTTATCAATATCAATGGGGAAAGTATTATCAGAAGGGTTTTCACCCAAAACCAAACAGAGTAAAGTGATAAGCGACATAAGTTGTTTCTGTTTAAATAGTTAAAAGTTCAATGGAAATAATGGCGAAAAAAGTGTCAGATCACGTGCTACTGATGGCATAAACCAATAAAAATAAAGCATAATTATAATCTGTGCTCGGTTCGAGATCACATGATAACAAGCCAATAAGAATGCGCAAATCATATGTGTGCCGGCAACTATTAAAGGTTTATTTTACCGTTTGGGTTAGGGTAAAGTGAAAAACAGGATTATATGCAAAATTATCTCATCGACATTATTTATTAGAGCTCCAAGTTAGATTTAGATATCTGTTTTTCATATTTGTCACATTTTTCATTTTTTTGTGTCGAATTTGTTTTTTCGAACTGATCAAAAATTTGCATTTTCTTATTGGTTTGTCATGTGCATGTGATCAACAAGGCTGTCTTTTAGACAATTAGGTAACATGAGAAAAAATATTTGAGAAAAGAATATGCAAAATCTTAGTTTATAGCAATTTGTCTAAAAATATTGTAAATTCTTATATTGTTACCAATTCAATATCATCAACAATTTACTACAAAGCATGTAAATAGAAGATATAGTTATGATAAAAATTAGTCATAATGATATTTGGATTATATAATTAGTTCAATAATATTATACTTCTTTCTATTTCTTTCTAATTTCTTCTTTTTCTTTCTTGTATCATTTATCTTTCTATATTTATTTCATTGTTATCTTTATTTGGATATATTAATTACATCATTTTCTTGGCAAATTTCATCATTTTCTTGGCAAATTTCATCATTTTCTATATTAGTTTAGTTTCTATTTTCTATTTTTGCTATTGGTACTTAGATGTAGAACAAAATTATTAATTATAATGTAGTTAAATTTTGTGTAATTTAGAAGAAAACCAATAATTTCATATTATTAATATAGATCTACTGTATCACATGTTGTGCTGCAATTGCATCATACTGCATCATATTACGTATTACTGTGCCACATTGTATCACTGTAATACAAAAATATGTATAAATACAAGTACCAATAATTAATAAAAATTAAGTTCTTTCAGTTCAAGTTTTAAGTTCTTTTAGTTAAGTTTAAATTCTTTTGGTTCAGTTTAAATTCTTAAGTTTTGATTTTGAAGTTTCTTTTGGTTTAATGTCGAGTTTGCCCTGTAAAAAAAATTTTTGAACATATTAGATAAAAATCCAGTTTTTTGTATTGATCCATTTTTTATCCAGAATATTTTCCGGATAAAAAATAGATCAATACAAAAACTCTGGTTTTACTTTAGCAAAAATCCATTTTTATTGCTGGAGTAAAAACAATTTTTAAAAGATCCGACATACTTTTATTTTTTTTACTAAATGAAAAATGGATTTATACAAAAAATCCAGTTTTACTTTAGTAAAAATCTATTTTTATTGCCAGAGTAAAAACAGTTTTTAAAAGATCTGATATATTTCCATTTTTTTTACTGGATAAAAAACAGATCTATATAAGAAATCCAATTTTACTTTAGCAAAAATCCATTTTTTAAAAGATCTGACATAGTTCCATTTTTTATCCAGTAAAAAAAAACAGAAGTATGTTGAATCTTTACCGTTTTTACTCTGGCAATAGAAATGGATTTTTTACTTTTATTTATTAGTATATATTATATAATCTTCCTGATCTATTATATAATTTCTATTTTTGACAATTGAAAAAAAACTGATAGATCTAGTTATAGCATTGACATTAATAATTTCAGAATGATCAAGATCACGAAAAATAAGTGAATCATAACCGGAAGCTACTGGTATAATAACTCACTGCACCAGAGCTAACAATGTTCATTCATTTTTATCCTTTATATATTCATGTGCAAAATAGTATTTTACTTTCCCATAAAATTCCTGTTCTTCTAAATCAATAGGTGCGTTTTTGTTCTGGGCATTTTTATCAACCAATAGTGTTACCTGAAAAAAATAGAGTAATTATTAGCATTTGCCTGAAAAGAAAATTAACATGTCACATATATATTGCTATTTGGTAATTAGCATGAGATACGTCTCCTTTCCGGCTGATGAGTTGTGAATTAACTATTTCTTTATTTGCAGTTTGAAGCTTCTCATAAACCCAAATATCTGACGAAATCTTCTAAAATTATTACCATGCTGGATCATGCTGATATCAGTGCACGTAGTGACTAGTTCACGAATGAAGTTTTGAACTAGATAAAATGCTGGAGAAAAATGGAAAAATACCTTCTCAAGTTTATCTATTTCTTGCGTCATAATATAGTAATATCTAAGCAACTGTTTTTCCAGTTTGCTAAGTGTACGTTTTCGTCCTGGTGTTAACAGTAATTCATCTTCACCTTCAATTCCAAAATTTCGATTTTCCTCAGACTCCTTTGTATTTTTTTTGAATTACCAAACACTCATTCATTAATCTCCGAAAAATATTGAAGGTGAGAAAATTGATTCACACAGTAATTTGATTGGTTAGATTTGTGTAGGGATGTTGTTTTGACTGGACAAGAGGCAACAACATCCCACAAAGCCTTTCCATCAGATATTGCCAGATCATCCATGCTGATCCAGTATTTTGAATGGATTTGGCAATATGAAGAAGATAATGGAAGGAGATCAAAGCTGCCAGTAGTTGAGCAGATTCTCTTTGATAATATTCTCTTTCATAATGCACTACAAACTCAGAAAAAAGTCTTTTAATTTCCTTTAAT